GGTTAAATTCCCAGATTAGATTGTGATCCTTGTTTTGTAAGTAACATACCTGTCATGGGGTTCACAAAGGACCTGCGTCTCTTTGGGCTTTCCTCCCACATTTGGCTTGTTGGGGGCATGAGTAGCCTAGTCGTCCAAGGCGCCACGATTAGCTGTGCAGAGTTGCGTCCCTTGGGCATGCCAGAAACCTATAATTGTGGGTTCGAATCCCGGTTTGCCCCGATTATGTTTCTAGGTTTGTCAGCACCATACCCATGATCATGGGTTTCACCGAGGAGGTAAACGTCTGAGACCTGCATCACTTGGGGCTTTCCTCCCACATTTAACTGACACGCCTTGATATAGCTGGAATACTGTTAAAAGCGGCGTTAAACCCAACTCACTCACTCACTCATTAGGCTTGTTAAGATAAAACATTTGTTTTTCATTACCATCCTGCCCCTAACCCTAACAGCTTTAATGGCCGGCCTAAAGAAAGAAATGGAAGTCTGTGATCGTCCCTCTTTACCAATTCAAAGACCGCCTCCGTGGTCTAGTGGTAGAGCGTCCGCCCGGAGAGCAGAAGGTCCAGGGTTCAATCCCTGACCGCATCATAGCAAAAGACGTTAAATGATGGTACTTGTTGTTACCCTGTCTGGCGCTCGGCATTAAGGGGCTAATACAAGGGCTGGTCGGCTCAGAGTCAGTATACTGTGTCTGAGTGGGGTATTCATGTTAAACTGCGGCATGGTATCTCAGTGAGCTAGCACTATAAATCGGCATCAGTCCGGACTAGTACAAGCAGCCACGTGCATGCACGTCGCTATATAAGTGCAATAATCTTGGACGCGACATTAAACCCCATTTCACCTCACCTCACCACCTTACCCATTCCAAACAACTGCTACAAACACGGGGAGGGGAGGAATGTCCGTCTGCACGCCCTCAGCTCCCAGTGGTAGTCCATGACCTCCACCTGCCAGTCACACGGACTCTGTCAGCTCTCACTATGTCCTTACACCACCAGGACAAGGTCTGGACAAGCATGGCTGCTGGCCCTACACACAGATAATTGCTGAATTAATGATGCTTGTCAGAAATGTTGGCATTGATTGGAAACAGCCTTGGATGAGGATCCCAGTAATTGGGTTACTGTTATCCATGTTATATCAGTTGAAGACTTGTCCTGTAGGAAAACATCGCTGTTATCCTTGATCGTATCTATAGAATTTAGGTCACATTGGATGGGAAATAGCATCAGTAGAATGTATGTCACATAGGACAGGAAATAGAATCAGTAGAATGTATGTCATGTGGGATATATGAGATAGAATCAATGGAATGTATGTCATATAGGACAGGAAATAGAATCAGTAGAATGTATGTCATAACGGACAGGAAATAGAATCAGTAGAATGTATGTCATAACGGACAGGAAATAGAATCAGTAGAATGTATGTCATGTGGGATATATGAGATAGAAGCAGTAGAATGTATGTCATGTGGGAAATATGAGATAGAAGCAGTAGAATGTATGTCATGTGGGATATATGAGATAGAATCAGTAGAATGTATGTCATGTGGGATATATGAGATAGAATCAGTAGGATGTATGTCATGTGGGATATATGAGATAGAACCAGTAGAATGTATGTCATGAAGGATATATGAGATAGAATCAGTAGAATGTATGTCATGTAGGATAACATTACTCTGACGTAAAGAGTTTTGCCCCTTAGCCAAGCAAGGATCTGCTGATTGTGGGTTCACTCTCCTTGGATTTTAGTTGTAACGTCTGACCTGTGTCATGTCTGGCTTTCCCCCCACAATAAGCTAGCAGATCATGGTATAACTGAAATACTGTTCAATTCCACTCATGCATTCTTTCAGGAATTCACTTCAACATCAGTCTTTGTTTATTTTGGATTTTTAAAAAAAACTTGCCCTACCACGCAAGAAAAACTCTTGTATTTGTTTGAATTGAAATGACAAAACAGAGAGCAGACAGTCTTTGATTTCTTTCTATCTAATCAGGTTTAACATTTCAGAAGCACATCCTAATTAGCCCCGTTAGCTCACTGACAACCATATTTGACAGGGATAGATGAGGTTACCATCTGAGTGCAGCAGGAATTAATTTAACGATGTGTCATTTCATCTGTGTAGCTGTTCCGATAATGGTGTTCAGAGTTGCATGCATTCAATCCATATTAGGACATTTTGGGGGGATTTTCAATGCTTGGAATTGACATTTAATTAGGAGAGTTCTTTCACATCGCGGTGGAACACGTTTTGCAACCGGGTCATGGTTGGCCTAATCATCCAAAGCTCCTTGGTCCAGTGGAAGAGCGTCCGCCCAGAGAGCGGAAGGTCCGGGTTTCGATCCCCGGCTGCATCATGCCAAAAGACGTTAAAAGATGGTACTTGTTGTTACCCTGTCTGGCGCTAGGCATTAAGGAGCTAAAACAAGGACTGGTTGGCTCGGAGTCAGTATACTGTGTCTGAGTTTGATATTTATGTTAAACTGCGGCATGGTATCTCAGTGAGCTGAGCTAAATCGGCATCAGTCAGGACAAGTACAAGCAGCCACACACACACACACGTGCATGCACGTCGCTATATATGTACAATAATCTTGGACGCGACGTTTAACCCCATTTCACCTCACCACCTCACCTCTTTGTGAAGAGTTATGTCCCATAGTTGTGCCAGAACAGGATTTCAAATCAAAGATTGTGAGTTTCACATAAGTGGTAAGCATCTGAGACCTGCATCACTTTGGCTTTTCCTCCACCTTAACCTGGTAAATTTTTAAACCCAGCTCACAAACGAACGAACTTTTCGCAATATTTCATGTTAGAACGTTTCAGTGAGACACTAATGAGTCAGGATGAGACACAAATGTAGTGCTTTGAGACAAATGAGACACAAATTTGCTTTCAAACATTCATTAGTCACGATGAGACACAAATACCATGCATTGAGACACACAAGTCATGATGAGACACAAATACCATGCATTGAGACACACGAGTCATGATGAGACACAAATACCATGCATTGAGACACACGAGTCATGATGAGACACAAATACCATGCATTGAGACACACGAGTCATGATGAGACACAAATACCATGCATTGAGACACACGAGTCATGATGAGACACAAATATCATGCATTGAGACACACGAGTCAGGTTGAGACACTAATGAGTCACAATGATGCATTGAAACACACGAGTCACAAAAATCATGCATTAAGACACAAATGAGTCATGATGAGACAAGTATAGTTTTGAGACACAAATATCATGCATTGAGACACACATGAGTCATGATGAGACACTAAAAAAGTCACGAGACACAAATCTAGTGCATTGAGACAAATGAGACACAAATATCATGCATTGAGACACACTTGAGTCACTATTAAACATGAATGCTATACTACCATCAAACTCCTAGTCAGGATGTAGTAAATTTGCAATCCTATCGCAATATCCCCAACATAAACACCACCTTCAATATCGGTCAGTAATCTCAACCCCCTCGCTGCCCGCCCCCCCCCATCATGCTTCTCCAGCAACAACATCCCGCTCCCTTTGAACAGCATCTACTTCGGGGACTCTCCCTGCTTCATCTGCCGTCATTAAGCGTATCATTACCAGCAACCAGTGACCCACAACCCACACATTCCACACCTAATGTTAGGCTACTTACATACATACAGGCCAGTAAGTACATTCGCCCGCTCTCACCACTTCCCTCCGGGGGATAGTTTAGAATAGTTTCGATTACGGATTGGATTTTATAAAATGAAATGAAAATAGATCATTTATTTTTATTTGCGTGACCATTCTATCTTTGATTAATTAGAAAAATGAAAAGATACACAATATCATACAAAATTACAGTAACTGTTGACTTTTTTAATGATAATCACTTGCATGTAAGCAAAGTTAAATGTATCCGTAAGGCTAAAACATGGCAAACAAACTGAGTTCAGATCTTTTCAATAAGTGTTTTTTCTAATATTTGCTTCATCACAACATGGCTGATATATATGGCATGTTCAAATATTCCACAAGAGGCGACTAACGGGATCAGGTGGTCAGGCTTTAAACAACAAATAAACAATTTAATTGACCCAAGGATTTTCCTAGATGAAGATACAGACAGTGCAAATATATGTATAATATATTCATCTTTGGTCACAGAACTGCACAGAGTAGCATTTTCACTTAAAGTTGACAAACATCATCCCTTTTTGCTTGTTTTAACCATGCTTATATACTTGACCACATCAGAAGTAACAAGACTGCACATGTAAGAAAGAGAACAGGCAAATAATCAGACATTTGAACATGCATGATAATTATCTTACCAATATTTCAAAGTGTTTCTTAACTTAATGATTTGACTTTTAAAGTTGAGCAAAAATTGTCCATATCCTGTACGATCCCCGGCCGCGTCATACCAAAAATTGTCCTTATCCTTTAAGATCCCCAGTCGTGTCATATTAAAAATTGTCCATATCCTGTACGATCCCCGGCCGCATCATACCAAAAATTGTCCTTATCCTATAAGATCCCCGGCCGCGTCATACCAAAAATTGTCGTTATCCTGTAAGATCCCCAGCCGCATCATACCAAAAATTGTCCTTATCCTGTACTGCTCAAAGTAAGTTAAGGACCACCGATTCTTTATATTACTAGTGAGTGAGTGAGTGTGTGAATGAGGGAGTGAGTATGGTTTTACGCCACTTTTGGCAATATTCCAGCAATATCAGGGCGGGGAACACCAGAAATGTGCTTCACACAATGTACCCATGTAGGGAATCAAACCTGGGTCTTGATGCATGATTAGCGAACGCTTTAACCACAAGGCTACCCCACCGCCCCTTTTCATGTTACGACAGTTGTCAAGTACTTAACTTCTTGTGACCTTTTTAGTCCTTAATGAAAAAGGTAGAATTCAAAATATCTTGTTGACTTATGAATTATTATGAACAAAATACAAATTTCATGTTAAGCCATTTATTGCAGTAAACAGTTCATCACAATCTATTTACAGTCTTTGCAGTGTTTGACATGGCATGTCAAACAATATGTCAAACAACAATAGCACAGACTAAAGATATAGAAACCTTAAATAAATACCCAGCTGCAAAGTGATGACACATTGAGTGACGTAGAAAAGTCACTCCTTCGTATCAAAATAAACAATGAAAACATATATTGATACCACTTCAGACATATAACATATACCATATTATATCGTTATGAATATTTTGTAAAACATATTTACATACATGTATATATAAAAACATGAAGGCACTTTTAATATTCTGCATTTTTTTATCAACATCAATTCTAACATGACAGTGGTAGGGCTGGGATGGGGAACTTGGGTTGGGTAGGTCCTGAGTAGGACCCGGGTACCCACAGGACTACCTGACCCGTGGTTAGTCATGTGATATATTGTTTAATAACAATAATAATAAAATTCCATGGTTACACAAGTACAAGTTGCTAATGTTTCCATTTGTTTCTGACTATTTCTGAATTTTTATGTTTGAGTAAAGACAAAGCTTCAGTCAACTTCAGTGTATACATGATCAGATCGTATTATACTATATCTAAATACTTTTTGCCAGGGTTCTGGTAAAACAATTCCCAACTGAACATTTTATACCCAACTTGAGACCAACAGCGGGTACCCGGGTAGTAAATTTGGACTCATCCCAGCCCTAGACAATAGAATATTTACCCACAATAGAGTTCCAAGTGAACGGTACTGACTATTAGTTGTATTGGATCAAATGTTAAATACCATCCTCATTTATCAAGGGTGTTGTTTTGGCATTTTATTGCTCGCCCGTGAAGAGTTCACCCGTTTAACAAACATACAGCTGTATTACACATTGTGTGATACTGAAGCGAACATCTCAGTTCTCCAGTGGAAGTTTAGTTAAAAAGACCTAACTAGGAATCCAGTGTTCTGTCAGTAGGCCATTTTAACCATTACTATTTCATGATGACATCACGTCTTATCGAGGGAGGGGCGGTCGGGTAGCCTAGCGGTTAAAGCGATCGCTCGTCACGCCGAAGACCCGGGTTTGATTCCTGACGGGTACAATATGTGGAGCCCATTTCTGGTGTCCCCCGCCGTGATATTGCTGGAATATTGCTAAAAGCGGCGTAAAACCATACGCACTCACTCTTATGGAGGGCAGTCGGCAAACAACAAACTTCTAATGAATAAATTTAGTTCCATTGAAAAGGATTTAAGATGAGAGTTGACTTAATGAATTTGTCCAACTAATTATAATTAAGAAGGAAATTAAAAATCAGCAGTACTGCAGTGAAAATAATGTTTATGTTTGTTAAGAATTTCAGTAAACTTTTGTTCTTTTACAGACATATACTGTAATATCATTAAGTATCATTAAATAATCATTAAATTTTTTATTTCAATCACAACAAAACTAGATTTCCACAACAAGAAATATATATGTTTTATGCCGACTATTATCAAGAAACTCCATTACAAAACTTAGGGGGTTTTATCTCCCGACTCCACTCTCGAACAGCCAATGAGAACTACACAAGGCAATGACGCCTTCATCAGTGTGTAACCATTTCTCCAGCTGTAATCGTGTTGTTTACATTCGCTATAATGATGTTTTAAGCTGGTTTAAAGTACTTCAATGTCTGCAAAGCTAAGCTGGTAGATTTCGAGACCTACTTTCAGTTGTCAAGGACAGACACTGCAGTGCATTCTCTTCAACTCAGCTTATGCCTAAAGCGCCAACATTAATAACATGGAAACATGACCGGAATAGTTTTTGAGTTGTAAGTTTCTTTAGGTAGTTAGCTTCTCATGATTAGCACATGTATTGGTGCTAATTTGTCAGGTTTTGGCAAAAACAAGTGTTTAGGATTTTTAACCCCTTTCCTAGTTTATGGTGTACCAAGGGCAGTATAACATGGTTGGGTTGAGCTTAGTACTAGCTATGATTGAAGTACCCTTGGCCTAGTATTTTATATATATAGCTCACACTATTGAAGTTCTGTGCCTTGATTATTTGAATTGCCAGGAGAGCTTGAGTAGGCGCACATGTCCTACTAAATTGGGGCTAAGATGCTGATATAAAACTATGATGAAATACTTCAATCGAATGTAAACCCATCCTTGTTCTATGCATTTTCAATGTTCACTATATGAATACTTGTGGTACTGTTGGTCTTTTGGTCAACTAACATTTAGTCCTAGAAATAAAAATGTCTTATGTAAAAACATACAGTAAACTAAGTTTATAATGAACATACTTATAACAGTATGTGTAGATATGTGTCCCCTACTCACACTCAGGAGTCCCAAAGAGGGACAGGTCAGCCGAAATTGCTTAGGCAGAAGGCGACCTCTTAAACACTTAATGCAACAACATCATCATTCAGTCTTGCTTGACAACGGTATAAGGATCTCTACCGAAACATCGTCTTCACAGTTATTAAAGAAGTTGTTATCCATAAACTGTGTCTACTTTGTCATCCTTCAACTTCTAAGTAATGCATATCAAACAAAACATTTATTTTTGTAAATGAAGTGACATACTAATATTGCAATACATATACTGAAATCGATTATCTAATGACATGTTCTGTAAGTGTTCTGTGGCACTAGTAAATTGACATCTCTTTCCACTGCTCCTTCTTTTTCCTTGTGTCGTACAATACGACTCCGTGTGACCATCTTGATAAACAAGGTGTTCTTGTACCAACTGCCCATGAGGTACTGGTGATATCCTGGTCATTTACCTGAATGAGATCAGTGTCAATAATAGAGATTATTATATGAGCATGTGTGCCATATTGATTTTACGGAACGAGCGTCAGAATTCTTGTATTTCTTGAGCGAGAGCGAGGGTAATGCATGAATTCTTGCACAAGTTTTGTTAAATCAGTATGACACACATAGGAGTGTAATAATTTCTTTATTTCCATTATGTCTTAATCCTTTTGAGCTCCCCTTTAGAAAAATCGCACTGATCACCACTGCTGTCCTAGAAAACCACAATTTGTCAAATGATGTCAACAATCTTCAGCTATGACGTCCTTTCTAGTGTGATGTCATTCCGACCTTACGTCACAATAAGATTCGAATGACATCAACAATACACTGGTGCGCAAGAAGTGATATTTACACAAACAATTTTAGGAACACGGTTATTTCTAACCCTATACTTAATATATGTAGATATTTTCAGATTCTGTGTGGAAGTTCAGGATAATTAAAACTAAGAAAAAGTAGTGCTTAACTTATTTCTTGGTGTATTTATAGGTAGTTAGACAAAGTTTGTAGAGTGAACACCAGGTGACGTGCTATCACTAGAGGCTGATGATGAAGAGATATACGCGCATATGAAGTGTTTTGAACCACTCGTTAGGGAATATCAAAATTGATGGGGCGTTTAATACTCAGTAAGGCACAAGAATATTGGGTCACAATTAACCCTTTAAGAGTTGTAGCACTGTAAGGCACAGCTTAGGGTTTAAAAGAGTTTCAAGTTAACCCTTTGTTTAATGTCGTAATTATAGGCACTGTCTTGGGTAAAGGTTAACCCTTTAACAGTCTAAGTGCCGTAAGGCACAGTCCAGGTTATTTAAGTTAACACAGTCTGAATTGAGTTAATAATTACCTTTAACACTTGCTGCACTGTAAGGCACTGTCTTTTTTATAAGTTAACCCTTTAACACTTGCAGCACTGTAAGGCATTGTCTGGGTTATCAGTTATTCCTTTTACACTCTCTGCACTGAAAGGCACAGTCTGGCTTCTAAGTTAACCCTTCAACACTCCCTGCACAGTGAAAGGCACAGTCTGGGTTATAGGTTAACCCTTTAACACTTGCTGTGCAGTGTAAGGCACAGTATTAAGATATATGATGAGAATATTCTGTTGAAGTATGTACAGATCCCATTGTCAGTTTCCTCCTTATCTGTTCCTCATAGTTCGGTCACATAACACACAGTCAGCAGACAGTGGCATCTGACCAGTGGCTGGCTTGTCCAAGAAACAGGACCCATCTCTGGGGGCCATCCAGATGACTTTGACAAAATGGAAGATGGTGTTGTGTAGTGGTTGCTAGGGGATATTAGATGGTGTTGTGTAGTGGTTGCTAGGGGATATTAGATGGTGTCATGTAGTGGTTGCTAGGGGATATTAGATAGTGTCATGTAGTGGATGCTAGGGGATATTAGATGGTGTCATGTAGTGGTTGCTAGGCGATGATGGAAGATGTCATGTAATAGTTGCTAGGGGATATTAGATGGTGTCATGTAGTGGTTGCTAGAGGATATTAGATGGTGTCATGTAGTGGTTGCTAGGCGATGATGGAAGATGTCGTGTAATAGTTGCTAGGGGATATTAGATGGTGTCATGTAGTGGTTGCTGGGAGATGATGGAAGATGTCATGTCATAGTTGCCTGGGGGATATTAGATGGTGTCATGTAGTGGTTGCTAGGGCATATTAAATGGTGTCATGTAGTGGTTGCTAGGGATGATGGAAGCTGGGTGTTGTGTAATGGTTGCTAGGAGATGATATAAAATGGCGTCTCATTTAGCGGTTGCTAGTAGAAGATGGAAGATAGTGTCGTGTAGCGTCTTCTAGGGGATCTGCACCCCACACTCGTACCACGCAGGCGAGGGACGCAGAAAATTGAGGTGCATCTTGCGTGGCTCCTGACCCCAGCTGTCTCGGGCAAATCCTGGAATGAAGTAATGGCTAAATAACTCATTGCTGTTCTCTTTGTCAATGAACATGGTATAGTGAAAACCGTGTAGTGAAAACCGTGTAGTGAAAACCGTGTAGTGAAAACCGTGTAACTCCATGAGGACATGAGTTAGAGACTGGTACAATTATACAATGTTTGTAGGATATTGATACCGTAGTTTCTGTAATCAGCACCCTGGGTGCTTAGAAAACTGACAAAAGTGGCTCCCTTTTTAGAAGCATACACAAGTTCAATCTGTTTTTAGTGATCAAACTTTGTTCAGACATTGATGAAACAAAAAAAAATTCAAAATAGTTACAAGGCAAATTATATACCCATTCTGCACTGCTGTTTTCTGTAAAAAGAAGTTGGTTAAATACTCAAGAAAATATTGGCTTCTGTAAGAGGATACTGTATAAAGTATATTTATAGATTGGTCTGAAAGATGTTCAGGGGTACTCATTGGACCTGGGCACTTAAAACAGCTAATACAGTAAATTATTATGTTTAATTAGGTTGTGCCAAAATGCCCAAAGTAAGAATGAAAATTCTATGTTTGTGGGTTCAAATTCAAGATTCTATACCCATAATTGTGCGTGTCACGGATGTGTTAAACTTCTAGGATCTGCGTCACTTTGGACTGATCAGGGGATAGGGAGGCTCGATAACATACACTGATCAAGGGATAGGGAGGCTCACTCACATACACTGATCAAGGGATAGGGAGGCTCGATAACATACACTGATCAAGGGATAGGGAGGCTCACTCACATACATTGATCAAGGGATAGGGAGGCTCACTCACACTGATCAAGGGATAGGGAGGCTCACTCACACTGATCAAGGGATAGTGAGGCTCACTCACATACACTGATCAAGGGAGAGGGAGGCTCACTCACATACACTGATCAAGGGATAGGGAGACTCACTCACTTACACTGATCAAGGGATAGGGAGACTCACTCACATACACTGATCAAGGGATAGGGAGGCTCACTCACATACACTGATCAAGGGATAGGGAGGCTCACTCACATACATTGATCAAGGGATAGGGAGGCTCACTCACATACACTGATCAAGGGATAGGGAGGCTCACTCACATACACTGATCAAGGGATAGGGAGGCTCACTCACACTGATCAAGGGATAGGGAGGCTCACTCACATACACTGATCAAGGGATAGGGAGGCTCACTCACATACACTGATCAAGGGATAGGGAGGCTCACTCACATACACTGATCAAGGGATAGGGAGGCTCACTCACATACACTGATCAAGGGATAGGGAGGCTCACTCACATACACTGATCAAGGGATAGGGAGGCTCACTCACATACACTGATCAAGGGATAGGGAGGCTCACTCACACTGATCAAGGGATAGGGAGGCTCACTCACATACACTGATCAAGGGATAGGGAGGCTCACTCACACTGATCAAGGGATAGGGAGGCTCACTCACATACACTGATCAAGGGATAGGGAGGCTCACTCACATACACTGATCAAGGGATAGGGAGGCTCACTCACACTGATCAAGGGATAGGGAGGCTCACTCACATACACTGATCAAGGGATAGGGAGGCTCACTCACATACACTGATCAAGGGATAGGGAGGCTCACTCACATACACTGATCAAGGGATAGGGAGGCTCACTCACACTGATCAAGGGATAGGGTGTCTTACATACAAATGTCAAAGGATAGGGAGGCTCACTCACATTCACTGATCAAGGAGTAGGGAGGCTCACATACAAATGTCAAAGGATGTGTGATGGGATGGGGGCTTGGTTGCTGGGTAAAAATCAGCCTTTAGGAGCAGTTCGTAATTTCTTAATTTTTCTGACCGCCTCCATGGTCAAGTGGAACAGTGTCTGCCAGGAGAGCGAAAGGTCGGGGGTTCGATCCCCAGCTGTATCATACCAACAGCATTAAGCGCGCTCAGCATGAAGGGGCTAAAACAAGACTCGAAGTCATTAAACTGTGTGTGAGCGGTATTCATGTTAAACTGCCACGTGGTATCTGAGTGGGCTAGCACTATAAAATTGGCATTAGTCCAGACTAGTATAACTGTTAAGCAGACACGTGCATCGCACGCACACATGCACATATATGCATGCATGTCACTATATAAGTGGAATAATCTTGAAAGCGACGTTAAACCCCATTTAACCTCAGCTCACCTTAATTTTCGAAATCAAAAATATTATTTTTCATGTAAATCAGTAAATGGCAGCTCTGATTGTCATGGTGTTACTGCGAAAATGTACAGCATAACTTAGGCAGGTGAAACAAAAACAATCATGACAGTTCTAAATTTTCTTTAGTGTCTTGCTGATAAAATGTATTCAATAATTCTGATTATTTCTTTGAGAATGTCACTATTATCACATACCGGGTAATCACATAAGTGGCTTGTGAATATGCTAAGGTAGGGGATTATGTCTAAAAATATGTTTTATCCAAGATCAACTATACTCTAAGAAATGTCAAAACAATAGTGTAATATGGTGATGGAATTAAAACCCACAGTCACTGCATCCTGGCAAACCTAAGGGATGCAACTGCAGATGACTGTGCCACCATGTGCCTTACAACAGAAAGAACAAATAGTTGCAAATTTAAATGGTGTATTACCTTCTTCTGTTTTCGCTGATATGGCAGGAGGACTGAGGCGAATGATGGAGGATTTTGTGGTCCCAACAAATTCACAGTGATCCTCTCCAAAACCGCTAATGTCGCCGACATTTAAAAACTTTTCAGTCACACAATTAGCTAACAAGATTTTATAGCGATTATTGGTACACAACACCACACCTGCCAGACGTCCATTTTTGTACCTTGTCTTCCGGATATATTGCTTCCCAAAACATGCTGTACGTGACGTGTCATATTCAAAGTCATACTCGACCCACGTGTCGGTCACACTGAGCCGGAATTCAATTTCTAAACTGGCCAGTGTTGACGATGATGAGTTCAACCGGGTTTGGAGCGTCCTTTGATCACTCTTCATGTTACTGACACTTTCAATCAATTTCCGGTTCTGGTTCTGAACTCTCTCTACACGATTTTTCAAGTTCCCATAATCCTCCTCCAGCTTTCCTGTTTTGGACTTATGCCGCCTCTCTAAGTTCTTGATATCCATTTGAAGAAGAACCGAATTATCTTCGAGGTTACGAACTGCAGTCTCCATGGAATTTGACTTGCTTTTCAGTGTATTGTTAAAACGATCAAATTGCCAGTTGAACTGAGAGGTGATGTTCGAATACAACTCTGAGGACAATTCGCGAGCCAGGTTGACCTCGAGGCCTGCAAGTTTATGCTGCATGTCTGTGTACGCCATCTTGCTCTCATTTCGGTAATGCTGCAGGGACTGTTGGAAGATACCTCGCAACCGATCAAGTGTGCGCAACTTCTTTCCATGCTCGTCGACTCTGCTCACCATGTCTTGATTTTGCGAAGCTGACATAGAACTCATGTTTTTCTTAATTTCTTCCACAATAACTTGCAAACTCTGCATTTTTTCCATTTTGGCATAAAATTCTTGAACTGCCTGTGAGATGGATGATAGCTCGAGTTTGATTCCGTCAACTCTGTCCTGCATCCGTTTCATCTTTTCCTCTTGTCCTTCCTCTATTTTATCGATGTCTTTACCTTGCTGGTCAACGGCTGTCACAAGTTTCAACGATTGCTTTCTCATGAGGCTGATGACCTCCTCCATGCGAGATTGCAGAAGGTTGTTGATTTCGGATCGGAGTAGCTCCTCCAGTTCATCTGAGTACACGTTAGCGACGTACATATTATCATTTTCATGTTGAGCATCGTTTTGACTGTCAGACCCTCCGTCATTTCCTGAAATCCTTGAGGAAGCTTTATCCTTCTTGTAGGTTATCTCCCTTGATTGTTTTGTTGGGTCTGAGTTCTGGGAACTGTTTGATGATTGTGTGACATTGTCGCGATAAACAACACTGTTGCCTTTTATCGTTACGTTTTTGAGTATTTTCCCAACTGCTGAAGCCAGCGCTTCTCCCGTCTGGTTTAGTTTGTTTTGGAGGTTTTCTATTTCATTGATCATGTCATGAGTTCTGCTTGTGTTTCCGTTCATGTCTTCATTGTCGGCATATGACTGATCGTTTCGAGGCAACATATCTAACACGATTTCATTGTTCTCAATATCTTTAGTTTTTTCTGTACCCTCACACTTCCTTGTGAAGTTCTCCAAGTAGTTTTCAATTTCGGATATGACAATTGGCTTGACAAGACTTTCCAGATTTTCGTTGTCATATAATTGATTTGTCTTAAAACCCTTGCCTTTGTTAAGGGCACCATTGGAATATCTCCTATCAACTGGCTCCAAGGTGTCGCTTCCCTTCTTAAGAACTATTTCCAGATTTTCTAACTTCTTCGCCAACGTGTGATAGGTCGTTGGATCGAAGGTGGCCATTTTGGCCTCAAGGGCCTGAAGTCGGTCATGACAGAGTTGTCTTTCCTTCTGAAGACGACCTTGAAGTTGGCTCACCTCTCGTCTGTACATGTTTAACTTAGTTTCCATCCGATTCATTCGTTGTTTCACCCTTTCATCTAATTGGCATGAATTTTTCACTTTTTCTCTGGGAATTACAAAGCTCATGACACAGGTTTCTTCAGCGACATGCACATCTTTTTGTGGTAGAAATGTGGCAAACACTCCCATGTTGATAAATAGAATCACAACCTGAATGAATCTCTGAGCCATGTTGTTCAAGGATGTTAACTCAATGCAAGAAAGTACGGAGAAAAAACAGATTCCTGGTTACAAATATCGTCTTGATTGAAAAAACAGGATTCAAATGAGAAACACTTCAGCTTGTTTTGGATGAGCTGTTGAAACTCTGTTTGCCCACGTTGTCAAGTCAGCAAACACCAAATTACAAAAAATGATTTATGATAGAATAAAGACTGTTGATGTTGGTTTGAGAATAAATTCAAATTAAAAAACAGGTGTACTCTATAATCTTGTTGAATAAGTCCAGATATTGGCTGTCATCTGACAGTCAGTGTTGAGAGCTTCAGTGATGAATATAAATCCAGATTTGAAGAAATTCTTTAAAACATCGTATTTAGACAATCACAGAAGTAGAATGAGAAAAACACAGAATAAATCAGTGCACAATCCACAGGAATAGATCCATCATGTGTGACAAGCAGTACTCCACCACTACAGGGCCTTTGCTGTAGTAACCACTGATGTAGACTGGTCGCCAGGCTTCAGAGAACTGTGGGGGAAGTGTGGATGAAGGGTCTTATACTGGCAGGCTGCTCGGTCTGACACCCCACACCGCCTCCTGGCACCGTGTTGCTACTGTCTTGCACACTCGTGTAGTTAGCTCCTCATAAACGTTTCCTGACTCCTTGAGAGCTGCTCGGCTGTAGCGTTGAACAGTGCTGTGGCTGAAAGAATTATTATATTCTTTGTCTTAATGAGAACTTAATTTATATTGGTATCCTTTTTGGGGAGATTTTGAATGTTTTTATTCATTGGTTTAATAGGAAATAGAATTTGATATTGTGTAGAGATAAGATCTATGAGTGGTAATAAGGAGTTGGATAAAGACTGATAGAATGGATGTTCAACGTCTGTATTATGATTTGTAACCATGTTTTGTCTAACCACTGCTATTGGTTTTTTTATCTCTACCTGGTGATTGTTTTGTCTGTTACTACCTGGTGATTGTTTTGTCTGTCACTACCTGGTGATTGTTTTGTCTGTCACTACCTGGTGATTGTTTTGTCTGTCACTACCTGGTGATTGTTTTGTCTGTCACTACCTGGTAATTGTTTTGTCTGTTTCTACCTGGGGATTGTTTTGTTTTTTACTACCTGGGGATTGTTTTGTCTGTTACTACCTGGTGATTGTTTTGTCTGTCACTACCTGGTGATTGTTTTGTCTGTTACTACCTGGTGATTGTTTTGTCTGTCACTACCTGGTGATAGTTTTGTCTGTCACTACCTGGTGATTGTTTTGTCTGTCACTACCTGGTGATTGTTTTGTCTGTCACTACCTGGTAATTGTTTTGTCTGTTTCTACCTGGGGATTGTTTTGTTTTTTACTACCTGGGGATTGTTTTGTCTGTTTCTACCTGGGGATTGTTTTGTCTGTCACTACCTGGTGATTGTTTTGTCTGTTTCTACATGGTGATTGTTTTGTCTTCCTCTAACTGTTGATTGGTGTTACCTCTGTACAAATGTTCAGCCTATAGACTTAAAATTTCATTAATTCAGCTTGAGACAAGACAATATTTGTTTGTTTTTTTGAGATTGTATTTGTTAAGATGTCAAGATGCATGAGGCAAAAATAATCAGTGTATCATTCTAAAAATGCATGTATTTGATCAAGTTTCCTCTTTCAATAACCTAACTATTAAAGGGATGCAGTGAAAATATTGTTATCAGAAAAGTCATTTTAGTTTGGGGAAGTTTCATGTGAAAGAATAAAACAAATTTGACTACTACCCTGAAAATTTTGACAAAACAAGAAAAAGAAACGCACGCATGCACGCACGCACGCACGCACGCACGCACGCACACACACACACGCACGTCTAAGCAAACCTCCTCACAAGTTTTCATAATTTATGTCTTGACAGCCGATTGAATTGACTCTTGAGCCTTGTATATAAGGTAAGTATTGGTGTGTATACACCGAGACCGTCTCTGGTTCTCGTCCCTGCCGCTGCAGGGAAGGGCTGGCACCGAGTCTACAGAGACAGAGAACATCTAGCTTCAGGCTTGCTCTGGAAAATGTTCATGGAAAGAATAAACAAACAGTTTCCCTCAGAGGTAAAAACTGCCAATCCAGCCCAGTTCCTTGGAATATGTCAGACTGTCTGCGAGAAACCCGTGAATCATGGTATTCATGGCCGGGCTGGTAATTAAATGGACAATTAATCAGGTTTCACCTCTTCTAATTGGAGTGTTGGACTGCTTGAGACAAGGAAGTCTGTATGTTTACCATTTGGGTCCTGCTACATGTCCACAATTAATTTGAGCATTAAGATTTTCTGCTTTATTTAATTCCTTTATTTTAATCGAATTTGCTTTTTGTGTCGTGACTATGAGTCATGAAAATGATTCAAAGATACACCATTGTTGAGGATTTGATTCCAAGCCGTGATTCATTTGCAAGGAATTGTGAAAAAAAAAAGATGTAGAATCTTTTGTGATATCATCATTCATTTGGAGCTTAAAATATTTGTGCATTTTAGTGGGGTCTTTTAGAGGCTATATATCTGGGTATATGATATATTCAGTCAGATCAGTATATGTAGGAAGGGGTACATTTCTACAGCACCATCTGGGTACCGTCTTTCTGGAATATGGAGAATAAGGAAACATATCTAGAATACTTACAGTTGAGTGGGGGGACACACGTGTCTGCCTGTTGGGGTGGGGAGACACACATGTCTGCCTGTCGTGGTGGGTGGGGAGACACACATGTCTGCCTGTCGTGGTGGGTGGGGTGACACACATGTCTGCCTGTTGGGGTGGGGGGACACACGTCTGCCTGTCGTGGTGGGTGGGGTGACACACATGTCTGCCTGTTGGGGTGGGGGGACACACGTCTGCCTGTCATGGTGGGTGGGGTGACACACATGTCTGCCTGTTGGGGTGGGGGGACACACGTCTGCCTGTCGTGGTGGGTGGGGAGAGACACATGGCTGCCTGTCGTGGTGGGTGGGGGGACACACGTCTGCCTGTCGTGGTGGGTGGGGTGACACACATGTCTGGGGGTGGGGGTGGGGGGACACACGTCTGCCTGTCGTGGTGGGTGGGGAGACACACATGGCTGCCTGTCGTGGTGGGTGGGGTGACACACATGTCTGGGGGTGGGGGTGGGGGGACACACGTCTGCCTGTCGTGGTGGGTGGGGAGACACACGTCTGCCTGTTGGGGTGGGGGGACACACGTGTCTGCCTGTCGTGGTGGGTGGGGAGACACACATGTCTGGGGGTGGGGGTGGGGGGACACACGTCTGCCTGTTGTGGTGGGTGGGGAGACACACATGTCTGCCTGTTGGGGTGGGGGGACACACGTGTCTGCCTGTCGTGGTGGGTGGGGAGACACACATGTCTGGGAGTGGGGGTGGGGGGACACACGTCTGCCTGTCGTGGTGGGTGGGGTGACACACATGTCTGGGGGTGGGGGTGGAGGGACACACATGTTTGCCTGTTGGAGTGGGGAGACACACGTGTCTGCCTGTTGGGGTGGGGGGACACACGTGTCTGCCTGTCGTGGTGGGTGGGGAGACACACATGTCTGCCTGTCGTGGTGGGTGGGGTGACACACTTGTCTGGGGGTGGGGGTGGGGGTGGGCAGACACATATGTCTGCCTGTCTAGGGGTAGGGGACACACATGGCTGCCTTTCTGGGGGTAGGGGACACACATGCCTGCCTGTCTGGGGGTGGGGGTTGGGGGACACACATGGCTGCCTGTCTGGGGGTCGGGGACAAACATGACTGCCTGTCTGGGGGTGGGGACACACATGTCTGCCTGTCTGGGGGTGGGGGACACACATGTCTGCCTGTCTGGGGGTGGGGGTGGGGACACACATGTCTGTCTGTCTGGGGGTGGGGCTAGGGAGACACACATGTCTGCCTGTCTGGGGGTGGGGGATCGGGACACATGTATCTGCCTGTCTGGGGGTTGGGGAGATATACATATCTGCCTGTCTGGGTGTGGAGGCTGGGGAACACACATGTCTGCCTATCTGGGAGCGTTGGGACACACATGTTTGACTGCCTGAAGGAGGGGTGAGTGAGTGAGGTTTGTGTAACGCCACTACGTCAGCACAATGTTCACATAACAATGTTTTGATAGTCAACAACACCATGGAACTATCAAAGACCTCCAAGGCAAGTGGTTACAGGGACACAATGTTTCTTGTCTGGGACAGACTGAGCCCTTTCGTAGTCAGTGTAAATGGTTTCAATAAGAAACTATTTTCCTGCCTACACAATTTGTTCCGGAGCCATTGTGCTTTAATTAATCAGGAATGTCAAGGAAACAGTTTATTTGTATATCTCTAAGAATTTTAAATTGATTCAGCATTGAAGCCACTCCTGATGCATTAAGTCAGGAGTGGCGTGGACATTTACGACATCAGTGTTGACATATCTACGTCAATTTTAGGTTACATCAGCTTCATCGCACACATATGTTTGCATCTGATTACAAATATTTTGACAGACACACCGGGTTGCTTCATCCATGATGAGGACGGAAGTGTAAAAGAACTACTGGGTAGGGTACAGGGATCATCCCTTCATACAAGAAAACTCTTGTTTCAAAAGGCGACTATTTCAATTTTGTATTTCTACAATTCCTAAGCATGTTCAGGGCGGAGTCCTATTTTTTTTATATGGATATTCTTGGTCAGTATGGCACCAAGTAGGAGGCAAAGTAAGATGTGTTCAAGGAAAAGTGTGAATTTGGCGTGGTATTAAATTTATGTGCCCAGCTCAATAGAATGTGAACAAACCCCCCTTGAATCTTTGTTCAATTGCAAATTCAGATTAGATCATGTAGATTTTAAGATAACAGATCGTGGAAAAAGTTAATTTTTTTGCATGAAGACCAGTGGATACTGATATTGTACCCAAAACAGAAGTTAAACAAAGTGATTGTCAGACTTCTTTTGAATGACAACTTATCCATTACCGTATGAGCGGTAATAAGGGAATGATCATTTATTGTAGGGTGGGGGGGTGGTTTTGTGAGATTGGTCTGAGGACAATATCATATTTATTTTTTTCAGGGATCAGTGAAACTAAAACATTTTCTTTAATAGTTACAAGACAAATATACTCTCCTTCTGCACTGCTGTTTTCTGAAAAAAATATCTGTAACTATACTGAGGAAAATATGGACTGTTGTGTAATTTTTCAGTCTCTGTAGGGTGGGCTTATAAGGATTTCTTACACATTGGCCAAGATTTTGGTCAGGAGGCTCAGTGAGACGAATACGGTAACTCTTTAAACATGTCTGTAGTGCCAGCAGTGCACGTCTGTATGTTCATGCAGTGATATAGGAAGTCATGGCAGCTGATAACCTGACTTCATGTTGTTCGATGTGTTTATTTCTCTGTAAGTGTAGTGCTGGGCAGTTGATGTGTCGGCCTCAGACTCTGTTAACCACATCACAAGACATGCATATCTTAATTGCCTCTAGAGTTCCATTATGAGGGTGTTGGCGGAGCAGGGTGCTGATCTCGGGATTGGAACGTGTTCGTGTGTTGATGCTATAGTCATTATTGGAGGGATCGTGTTCGGGGGATTGGGGAAAAAGTGTAAATTAAGAGGAGGGAGGGTGATTAACATTTCTTGGGTTTATAAAAGGGCAGTATTTATTAAGAAGGGCTTTGTGAAAGTATGAAATATATTTAAGAGAGGG